TAGTCCGACCCCCTACTCACAATGGCGAGCGGGGTTTCCAGACGAGGGAGCGCAGGCGGAGAGGGCTGTGTCCAGTTGGAGGTTACACCACCGGACACAGGTAATGCGGTATGTCAGCTCGGATAATGGTCAAATAAAACTCAGCAAAAATCCTCACGGCATAAGTAAGCACACCGTACTTAGCGCCTCTCCTCAACGCACATAAGCTGGATAATGATCAGCTTACTTATGCAATCGCAGCTGTACCAACTACTTTACATCATCAGCAAGCCTTGGGCCGCCCACGAGCATGTAATCAGCGGCCCATTGTGAAAATCGCGCACATGAATCGTGCGTAATTGCATGGCAGCACCTCTGCGCAGTCAATGTCACGGTCACTTCAGGCGCTCAGTGTAGCGGTTCTCCTTCCCGGCGCCGTTTCCATGGTAACGTTTCCATTGTAGGTAACATAACGTTACTGCCTTCACACATGGGTCGTGATGCAACCCATGCGCCGCGCATTATGTCATTCAAGGTTGCAGGGCATGACTCGTCGTGCCCCCCGAAATTCGAGGTCAAGTTGAAAAGAAGGCATATTGCGACAAATGTTCGGGAGGGGATTGGGCTGGAGAGAAATGAAAATGTCCATGCTGGAGCCTGATGTAGGCTTCACAATATCAGGAAAAATTAAAGGAAAAGGGCCACCTTCGTGAAATATGAAGATATCGTTGTTTTTCATTTTGACATTATTATTTTTCATTTTCTTTTTAAAACTGGTGCCAGAAGTGCACAATTCGCTAAAAAGTATTTAAAACTATTTAACATATTGGTACTAAGTTGATACTCTCTACGGCACCTACTGTATGATGGCATAGCGATGACGTCACACTCAAGCCAATCAGCGTTCAGAAGACAGACTCGTCGGATTGTGTCAGATAAGCTGATTGGTTAAAGCTGAGCTGGTTGGAGCTGATTGGTAAAAAACCAAAGCCTCGCCGCGGGTGGCTGTATTGTCGGATAAGAACGCATTCCTGGGATAAGGACGCATTCCTGGCGTATTTTCTTTTAAAATTGCCGATAACTACGAATGGAGGCCGAATTCGGCCGTAAGGAGGTAGACAGATAGGTTTTCGGACACGGGCTACAAGATGGCTATCTCAGTTTCAATCCCCATGTTAAAGGTGGCCCTTTTCCTTTAAACAGAGACAATGCGTGAAGCCTTGAGTCTTGAATCTTGACATGGGTAGGTACTCTCGGCGGCTGACATAAGACTCAGTACTGTCAACATTAACCTGATAAGTCCATTCAGCACTTTCTAAATTTAGTTTTCCACTGCAGTTTTCACAAAGCTGAAGAATTTCTGCTGAACCAAATTGTCACTAATAACACGGCGATTTGCAAATCGACCTTGTAGCTGTTCACAGAATACCTATTAGTACCTACCTACCCGGCCACCATCCGACTCTTAGCAGACTCGTAATTACAGCATAGGTCAGGAGTTCGTAGCACAAGACAGTTGTTTGTTATTGAGCTGCTTATTACTGAAGACACGCGATGAAACTGTACAGAGGAATTATGGTACTGCGAGAGATTTATGAAAAAAAACAATAATAACACTGACACACACCTCGCAATGCAATTGTGGCCGGCCAACGCCGTATACAAAGTCAACTGTTCATGCCAAGACAAAGATGGATTGAGCTCTCGCGCGGTCACCCAAACCAGGCCATACGAGATCACTTCTCCAAACGATCAAATCTCCTTCCAAACAAGACTGCCTCCCACTGACCTGTTGAGGCAGCCGGCCGACCGAATTCCATGGAATACCAGGTAGCCATTTCACAACATATTCTGCGACCGACCGGTCGTTTTGTAACTTTGCCAGCTTTTAGCTCGTAAGCAGCTGGGAAGCCCTCCACAGCAATGCAATAACATTGGCACGAATTGGCCGGGGCTCAGACCGGTCACAGATTGCCATGGTTACCAAAGGCCAGGGTCGCAGGTGGGCGGGGCGGATCCGATCAGAACACCGGTCTGGAACGGGCGGAGCCCACCGATGTTGCCTAATACCTAAAGCAGGGTACAAGCCGAGTAGCGGTTCGTAGAAAACGGCCTGAGTGGCTCATAGAACCGACAGAGAGAAAAACATGTCCCTCCCAATGGTTGATACCTTGAAGGTAAGTGACGATATCACGGTAAATGAGGTCTAATGATTTCCACAACTAACCCAGAAAGTAGAAGCGACCAATAAGCACACTATCAATCATATCGAAATAAAAAGTGGATGGGTTCCCGCGAAGGCCATATTCGAGGCAGGCGGCGCCCGCTTTCGTTTGCTGTCTGCAGGCTGCCTGGTCCCCGAGCAGCCGGCCCTTGCAACACACACGTTGCAGCTGACGGGGTTCGCTCCCAGAGCCCCAGTCTGGCCGCCGGTGATGGCGCCGAGACTGCAGCTCAGGGGCGCTGGCCAGACGCCCGGCGCAAGTAAGGCGCCAGGCGCCCGTCCCTTCCAACCAGCCACCGCGCCGGTGCGCCCTGTGTGTGCGCGGCAGGGCACAGGGGAGGCCGCTAACGAAAGGGTGGTGGTAACATCCCAGCCTGGATATTGACAGGGTGAAAACGACAGCGATAATGGAATGGATATACACAACAGCGTCGAAGGTTGGCTCAGTCAAGGGCTCAGTATCGATAGTGTGCTAAAAGACATCGGATAATAGCTCTGATGAAAGATGACACGGTTGGTCTGTTTGGCTGAAGCTATCGCGTGGTTACTAATACGTTCAGCAAACTGTCCCTCCCACTTGAACATTGCCGTCACGAAGTCAAAGACTTCATCTTTCACCCATCAACCGAGCATCGCGCCCTCCCTTTACTCGTACAGTATGTTTACAGTATACGTACAGACAGCAGTTCTTCAATGGCTCGCTGTTTGTCTTCTGTCCATCGCCCTCCGCGCAGCACGCGGACCACCGCCCACCACCGCCCGCCCGCCAATCAGCTGGCGGCCGTCACTTTCAGTGTCGCCCCGATGTCGGCGACGGCGGAGGGCGGCACGGATCCGGCTCTGGCGGCCCACTTTAGCGAGCACCGCGCGCGCGCGCCCGAGACTCGACCGAGAAAGTCTCCAGCGGAGCCGGGGAAGAGCTGCAGGCTGCACAGAGCGCCCCCGGCAGGAGGGTGTCGAACAAAGACAGTCGGTCATACGCCGCCCACAAAGACGAGGACCCGGCTGAGTGGTGCGTGCGGGGTGACAGGTGTGGGGCGCAGGAGGGGATGAGGGGGAAAGGAGACGAGGTGAACCGTAAAAAGGACAGGATGTGGATAGTGGGTGTCCGCCAGCGACCTATTTTGTTAACGACCGCAATTTAGTCTGATCCGGATAGTTTTTAGCTGTGCCGAATTGTCCCCTCTTGCATCATGATCTAATTAAGAAAAAAACTATCCGTATTAACAGACAGGTATTGTTGCAAAGAGAATCAGTATCACAAGTTCAGTACCCAGGTGAATGAATCTACTTGACACTAAATGCAATGCAATTCGCGTATGCAACAAACGAGATCACACTACTAAAGTTTTTGAAGCCAGACTAATGCCTACCATTAACAAGTGCGATTGGCTAATCGATTGCAACAATCGTCCCATAATCTGATTCTAGAAACTAGAAAGCGGTGAAATGTGACATCTATAATACTCGCAACAATGAGGCAGCTTGCATAATTTTGCTCGAGTTCCGAATAACACCTACGGTCCTTAAAATAATTTACCGAAACGAGTTTCCCTTCAAAGATTGAATGACATATTGAGCGAATGCGCTCTCCTGTAAAAAGAATAAGGAATAAGCTGACGGCAGACGTTTTACGCAAACGATCAAATCGGACTCCTTCAAAACTAAATTGGGTCGCGTAAAACCTTAAGACCTCGATAACAAATTAACATCATTCTCAACCAATCACATGACATACCAAGGTCCTTCCATCAGCTATACTAACCCCAAAAGCAAATAACCACCAAAGCCTCCAAAGCCGTCAGGGGCGGGTCCACAAACGAGAACGGAACGCCAGAATGCCATAATCGGCCCGGAATGGAGCCGAGCGAGGCGATCGGTCCTGGATGACCCGCGGCCATCGGCCTCGTCAGGACCGGAGAATCTGGTTCAGGGCCGCCGCAGCCGCTGGTGGCTCTCGCCCCGGGCGAAAACTGCACCGCGAACCACGCGGAACAGGGCTCCTCGGATCGCCGGGCGATTTATCGCACGAGCGAAAATAACCCGGCCGGATACCGGCGATCGTTTCGATTTCAGTGGGACGGTGGTTGACACAGTTGTCACTAATGCCGGGTTTTTAGGGTTTTGATAAAACTCACAAACTTGTGTTTGGTAAAGATAAATGTTGCTTTTATTAAAGTTAAGTTCACGTCGCTCAAAATGAAATGACGTGAAAGACAACAATTAAAGACGTAATTGAGCAGCTAATCTTTACAACTAAATCATGCTTAGAATACAACCAAGTCAGGTCGAATACGCGGAATCATTGACTTGTAACCCACTCATTGACTTCCGCTTCCAGCTATTCATCGAACAATGCTAGTCAAATGGCCATTAGGATCTACCGGATATCCGTGTGGAGCACTATCATTCGAACAGCTCAATGAAGATTCACTGCCTTTTTGACATCATCATCCCCTGAACTAAGTAACATCCAACCTACTGATGCCTGGAAGGACTGCATCTCGAACATCGCTTTACCAGGTCGTGAGGCACACAACAAACCAATTAACACGGTTCGCTGTTCTGATGCCTGTAAACAACCGTTCGCAGCCAAACAACCACTGGCTAAAGACACTGTTTCCGCTCAATAAACCTCAATCCAGCAGCTATGTAACCCTTTTCATTTACCTCATATAGACCCCTGACGTTTAGCAACAGTCAATGCACATATCTGGTTGTAAGTCACGCACTCTTCAATTTAATACGATAAAAACTCCCTCTCCCGGGAATCGAACCCAAGCCGCCTCGGACTCACCTTCTCGGCAGGTGAGGATGTTGCGATTGCGGCCAATCCACGTGCGCAGCTCTTCCAGCGCCCGCTCGCGGCCCTGTTCGTCCTCGTTGAGGTCCAGGCGGGCCTTCTCGAGAACGCACGGGCTCAGCGGCCGGGCCGGCGCGCCCGTTTCCTCCGTGAATGGCAGCTCACACTTGCCCATGGTGGAGACCTGCAGATAGAGAGAAACACGTTAGAGGTCGGCAGTTCGGCACGAGATCGGAGGAAAACACGATCGCTTTGTTGATCGATCACGATATCGATTGGATTCCATCATCGCAAATGTATCGTTTATCCGTTAATCGTTGCGGATGACTCCTTTACATACTGTTGCAAAGCACGCAGACTTCTTTATTCCAACGTATTTATGATGTAGCTTCCATCATTGCTATATCCAATGTTTTGCATTTCACATTCCAACAAGCGGCAGCGATGACAAGGCAGCGTCCATAAGGGACTGTTTGGACTGTTTGCATCTGCTTGGACAAAGTCCGCTCTAACGCAGAAGTCGGTCCCTGTTTGGATTCCACTCGACTGGGTGCGTGTAGCGCAAGTGTTTGATCGCTTGTCACGGCTCTCCGACAAAGTGACACAAGTGTCAACCAAGCTATCGTAGACTCAGCGCGACGGAAAGCTGATACACCGCGTGAAGCTTGATAAAAGGTTGAAAAATAAGCTGGATATGTAAACATACATATCCAGCTTATATAAACATACATGTATGCATCGTCGCTGAGACGTAGCGTATCAACGCACTGCAGACAGCGGTGCACGACAGGCATTAAATGTCCACTGGAGTTGCATATCGTACCCGGAACATATACAAATGATTGTAGAATATGCCTAAAGGATACATATCTGGGAGAGTCTTCGGCAAACACACGATCACGATTGTCACTAACTGCGAGACGCTCCCCTCCCTTACCGTCGCTCAGTAGTCAACCGCTCACAAACTGCCCCAGACTCAGATTAGATAATCATACGAGACGGCAGCGCAGTCCCACACTACTCAGCACATACCGGCCCGGAGGGCCTCCTCTCGAGACGCTCCAGTGTCGGTCGCTAGCACGAGCGGCGCTGCTGAGTGCGACAGTCTGACCTGGAAACCACACCATCCGAGCCCCACCGCCGGCGATGCAACCGCTCCAGCAGTTCTGACCGCGCCGACTAACTGCTATCTCTGAGTGGCGCCAACCGTCTATTCTGGGCTCCGGACAGTGTGCAGCGGACGTTTCCGCACGAACTTCGATCAGTGGTAAAGGAAATCGATCCGACTGATCAATGACTGGAAAATCTATTTTTACCGCGATTGGAACAGCCAGAATAGTGCAGCTTGAATGGATACAAATTGCATGTCCCTTGAACATCGGTCGTAGGTAAACTAAATATACTCTCAGAGTAACGGTAAAGTGAAGATCGCTTGCTAGATATAACGCAATTCATTTAATTCTATTCAGCGACAATCGAGACAATAGCTTGATCATTAAAAAATGGCTTAGACGTCCAATCAGAGCCTCTCCTTTCGCGATAGTTTGTCACGCGTCGCACCGTTGTGCCAAGAGGCAGGTGCGTGTCCATGAGAATACCACCCCCCGGTCGTCCCCTCCGTGAGGTGACGGCCGGCCTACCAGACCCATCCGTGACCACCCGGCACCCACCGTGACCGGGCCGCAGCGGCGCGACACACGACGCACGGCACGATAGTCACAGACTCACGAGCGATCACGGCCCGCCGCCTCCTCGCCGTCCCGTAAACTCGCCTGAGCTCGTCCGCTGGGAGCGTGCACGGCGCACGCACGCCGGTCACGGATGGCGGTAGGGACGCTCCGGTCGTGCCACCACCGGTCTGTTAAACGCGTCACGGACGATGATTTAGTGTCATGGTGAATCCCCGTGACCATTCATAAGGTAGTGAAATCCTCGAATGGATATTAAGTAAAAACAGCGTCGCTAAAAGGTTGTGAATGATGCGTCCTTGCGTCCCTTTATGGACTAAAAACCAGGACAGTAGCTTGACAAGATGCTTTCACTATCCTTGAAGCTTGAAGCCTCTTGCACCAAAGCACCTAGATAGATAGATTCTGCAGGCATTTTCTTGGCCAGCTAGCCTACGGTGGTAAATCGAAGAGCTCCTATCCTATCTTACTCCGAACTCCGAACTCATCTACTAGAAATAAAATCTTACTCGGTCGATCTGAGGCCGCGAGGAGATGTGTCAGGACGGTACCGAGCGACAAAGCGCTGGTGAAGAGCGAACTGTTGGCGTGCCGCCTCACACCCAGTGCGTGCGGCGGCCGCCGAAATTTCACCCGGACACCGCACGGCTTCATGGGAGTCGGGAAGGCGCGACAATAGGCGAGATCGGACCCGCTGATAATGAATGGAGCCGGGGAAATGGAAGAAAACGCTGAGACCATAGATAACAGTAGAGATCGGCTGGGCGAAATATAACAATATTAATAAATAAAAAACAGCAGCATAGCGTGCTTTCGAAGTTCCTAACCGACGGCTTTTTGCTTCAGCTTTTCATGCATGGTGTGCCGTTCCAAGGCTAAAAACGACAATGATAAAAAACAGTCGAATGCTAAAAAAAAATCATCAGGTTCTTAATGGAATAAAATCAAGCTTACGAATGCAATCGGTCTATCTCTATATCCGAAGTACCCATCTATCATCTATCCATCAAAGTTCTATCTCTTATTATCCAAATACCTATCCAAGTTTTTGACAAGCGCCATGTGCTTACCGACTCATTATTCAGGGTTGTTGTGGGAAGTTAGAAATCACAGCGACAGAAGACGCCAGCGGTGAGTGAGGCCCAGGCGCCATCACTTACAGCACGGAATAATTACTCCAGCATCTGTCTCTATAACAACGGACAGCAGGAAAGTTGTCGATGACATGGCCTCCCACAACTCGTGAGTGGGTATGATTATACAGGGTGACACAAAAAAAAACGGTCATCACCAAATTTCGAATAACTTCGGAAGTTTTATTCAGATCATCACCAAACTTCGGCCACTTAAGGTCACACCTATGTAGCATACATCCACCAAGTTTCAAGTCTTCACTACAAATACTTTTAGTACAGTGTGTGTTTTACTGACGCTCCACAATGTGCTCCAGGCGAGCGCCACGGCGCTGCAGGGCGTAGGCACACTTGCATCCGGCGGGCAAAGTTGTCGATAACCCGATGGCTGTGCACTTTACAGAGTGCAATGGCCTCTGGAGACAGTGCTCAGGGGGTGTGCTACCCCTGAAACGTTATTCTTATCGAGTTATCGGCAACTTTGCCCGCCGGATGCAGGTGTGCCTACGCCCTGCAGCGCCGGGGCGCTCACCTGGAGCACATTGTGGAGCGTCCGTAAAACACACACTGTACTAAAAGTATTCGTAGTGAAGACTTGAAACTTGGTGGATGTCTGCTACATAGGTGTGACCTAAAGTGGCCGAAGTTTGGTGATGATCTGAATAAAACTTCCGAAGTTATTCGAATTTTGGTGATGACCGCTTTTTTTTTGTGTCACCCTGTACTTGAGCCGCATTCCGTCATATGCCCTTTACGTTCTACTTATTATAGGTCAATGGTTCTAACTATATCACGCCGTATATCCACATATTCACTTATTAATCTCGAAAACTTTTATCACATTATTAAAAGCCTAAGCACTAATACCAAATAATACCTACTGCCTCTAATTTACATGCATTGTCTGCACTCCGCTTTATCCAGCATCGCCTCATTTCACCCTTACTCTAGCTTTCAAGAAAATCTATTCAGCATTTTTTTATTTCTTCTCCGGGAAATCCAGCTCTGACTATTCACGAATGGCGAAACACGGCTACTGACACTATGGCCAAAGAGGCCGTTCCTCCACCGCCAGTCCGTATAAGGCTCCGACACCGCGATCTGACAGCGCGACAGAGTTTCCCAATACCTACAAAACTACAGAACAGACGGGAGGTCTCCAGCTGATCACACGCCGTCGAGACCGTTTGCGGAATCGAATTGGAAAGGCGTAACTCACGCCTCGCACCCCTCTCCTCTCTCTCTCTCTCTCTCTCTCTCTCTCTCTCTCTCTCTCTCTCTCTCTCTCTCTCTCTCTCTCCCTCTCCCTCTCCCTCTCCCTCTCTCTCTCCCTCTCTCCCTCTCTCTCTCCCTCTCCCTCTCCCTCTCCCTCTCTCTCTCTCTCCCTCTCCCTCTCTCTCTCTCTCTCTCTCCTCTCTCCTCTCTCTCTCTCTCTCTCTCTCTCTCTCTCTCTCCTCCCTCTCTCGCACAGCCACCCAGCCAGACGGCGTGGCGTTGTGAATGACGAAACGTCCCGCCTCATCCACACGTCTCCGTCTGCCGTCCACCCAGACCGCCAGGGTTACGGGCGGCTTCGCGGAGTATTGCATCACCCCTCCCCCCACCACACCTGGCCTCGTGTCTGAGACGGTCCCTGCGCCTCCGGGCGTCTGCGTGTGAGGGGGGAGGGCAGGAGGTCACCCAGAAGTACGCTTCCGCGTCCCGACGCGCCCGGTTAGGCTTCTTCCCGTGCTCCGGGGCACGTATGGCCATGACGCTCCCCATTCGGCCGCCGGCGCGGGACGCTTTTTGCAGGACCACCGCCGCAGGAGGGAGTCTGACTCAGGTGAGGCTGCCAGAGGAAGAGTCACAAAGGTGAGAGGAGGGAGGTCAAACCGCTAAGGTGTTAGGAAGACCGAGGAGCTGGGGCAGGTAAGGTGAGAAAGGGAACTGACAAGTAAGGAGGGAGCTGGCTCGGACAAGACGTTACGAGGGATACAGATAAGACAGTTGGTTGTGTAATAGCTCTGGGGATGGGGGCGATTCAACCTGTGGGGGCGCGACAGCCGGCCAGAAATGGTCGCAGCGGCGCGGCCGGGCGACAGGCACTGAGAGAGATGGTGGACCGATATCTCCTTTGGGTAGAGAACGGTTCGGCAACAGACGGGAGTGATGCCAGTGCTGCTCGTTTGGCCATCTGCTCCCTCACTAATTTGCCTAAGTAGAAAGAGAGGGAAAACCGGATGACATCACACGGCGATAGTAAAACGCCTCGGACACACAAAGGTTCGATACAAGTCCTCGGTGCTGCCAGCTTGCTAATTTGGATACACAATTAACGATAAATGCAATTGAGCATGGGGCTGACGATTGGACCCGTTATG